GTAGTGACCTTTTCATAGCATGATAGCAATAAATGAAAAGTCAACGTTTTGCTTTTAGTTGACTTTTGTGCTTTTATCAAAAGAATTATTGAACAGTATATATATTCACGAATTTGTAGTGACCTTTTCATAGCAATCTAATGAAAAGTCAACGTTTTGCTTTTAGTTGACTTTTGTGCTTTTATCATCTAGAAATGTAAATTATCATCGCAGGTACAAAATTATCATTTATATATAACAACTAATATTATTGGAATTTCTCTTATTACATATAATTTTTTCTGCAAATTTTTCACAGAAAATGTTATTCCAACAAATTTGTTTACAAAATTTTATTTCTAAGTAATAGCTTCATGGATAATATATTTTTGCAAATTTTAAAACTCGCAAGAAATTTTCTTGGGAAAAAAATTCATAAGAAAGTTTCTTGTAAAATTTCCTGCGAATTTTTTTACAAAAAAAAAAAAAATAACTGTTCAAAGGTAATTTTCATATAATTCATATTAATAATTCTTCAACTTTCAAATACTTAAAAATGAATTCATCTAAAGCATGTAAATTATAGGTCTAATACTCAACTATACAAAATCAACTTGTAAGGTGAGTGTTATCCCAACTTCTATATTCTTTAATTATTATTTTATTTCTAATCAATGTGGGACTTGAGGTATATCTTTTAATTCTTAAACTTATAAATTTATATATATTTTTTTTCCTGCAAATTAAAATTGGCAAGAAAATCTGTAAGAAAAGTTACTTGCAAAATTTTTCTACCATTTAATTAACATTACTTGCCAATTTATTTTTACAAGAAAATTCTCAAGAAACAAGATAAAGTTCTTACAACATTTTTTGCAAATTTTTACCATGAAAAAAAAATTCTATAATCATTAAAATTGTAGCAAAATTTACAAAAAAAAAATGTGGATTATTTTTCATAAAAGAATTTATAAGAAATTTCTGTAAATTATTTTTCGCAAATAAATTTGTAAACAAATTTTGTAACATTATTATTGCAAGAAAATTCACAAAAAAATCTGCAAATATTTTGTCGGCATAACACTGCCGAGCTGTCTTCTGATTTGCTCTGACGGAGATGATCTTACTGTCATTCCCTGGGAACTTCATGGTGAGGTGCGGAGTAGATACCACCGCTCCGAGCTGATTCAAGGTTGGCCTCCCGATAATGATGTTAGAGGAGGTATTGGCCTCCACGAGGAGGTATCGAACCATGATTCTTCTTGTATCCGGAGGTACCCCGAAAGTTGTTAGTAGGTCTACGTACTTGCGAGTGTGAACTCGCTCTCCTGCGAAGCCGACTAGGGGCTCCGTGTGAGGTTGGATGAGAGAATGGGGGACGTCTAGCCTGAGGAACGTCGGCCAGTACAGGACGTCGGTCGAACTTCCTTGGTCAATGAGTGTCTTTTGTACCTCCCAGTTGGCGACTTCCACCATGATAACCATCGGATCATCCTGGTTGGGGCCGACGCCCGCGTAGTCCTCCTTAGAGAAGGAGATCGGCAGTGAGCTTTGGTGCGAGGCCGAGGTGGTAGAGTGGATGCAGTTGACATTCCGCAGGTGCCTCTTTCGGGACGAGCTGCTGGCACCGCCCCCAGCGAAACCACCTGCGATTGTGTTAATCACTTCCCGTAAGGGGGCTGTCCCTGTCTCCTGGCTTATCTCGGACTGCACTGCGGCGCCGGTATTTTGTTGGGAGCCAGAGGGTTGGTCCGTGCGAGCTCCCGAACCTCGGCCTCTGCCACGCCCCCGACCGCCATAGCCTCCTCGGTGACCCTGCTGTCACTGGATGTACTGGTCGAGGTGACCTGCCTGGACGACCTCTTCGATACGTCCCGGAGCGTGCGACACTCCTCCGTGGTGTGACCGTGGTTCCTGTGGTACCGATAGTGCTTGGACTTGTCGGCGCTGTTGGGAGTGTGACCTGGTGGTGGAAGGGCGAGTAGGTTGTTGTTGTTGGCTTCTTCCGGGGTGTGGACTCTGGGTGCGTTCAGGGGAGTGTAGAAGTCATACCTCCCCCCTCTGTTTGCCCTAGCCGACTTCTTGAACTGGTTGTCATTGTTGACTTTGACCTTATCGTTGTGCCCCTGCTCTGGCTTCGCTGGTCCTTTTCTGCGAACCTGGTCACGGAAGGCGGGGTGTTCCTCCATCTGAATGTAACCTGCAGCGCGGGCGCGGAGCTCGTCCATGTCGCAGGGAGACTCGCGACACAAGCTGTCGATGAATGGCTCGAGCTTGAGTGCCATGAGCATGGCATGTAGGGCGACCTCGGGATTCAGGTTCCTGATCTTGATCGAGGTGGCAGCGAAACGTTTCATGAATGTCCGGAGCGTTTCGTCGTCATTTTGCCTGAGACTGGCCAGGGCGGCTGAAGTGACATGGTGAGGTCGGCTTGTCGCATATTGCGCAGTGAACCTCCGGACTAGGGTGCCGAAGCTGTCGATGGATTCGACAGGCAGTTGGGTGTACCAGTTGAGCGCGGCCCCCTTAAGTGAGGTCGGAAACACCCTACACAAGATAGCATCGTTGTTGGTGTAGAGATTTACCTGTGTTGTGTATAGGTCGATGTGTTCGTCTGGGTCCGTCGTGCCATCGTAGCGGTCGAGGTGGAGAGACTTCCACCCATGAGGGAGTGGTGTCTCCATAATGCCATCCACAAAAGGGTGG